AAGCTGCTAGTAGGCTTCAGCAGGATTTCAAGAAGCGCTGAAGCCTGCTAGCAGCTTGTTTAAAGTGGCAATCCGCTCCCATTAAGATCTGTGTTAAGCATTTACAAACTGCAGCTGAATGATGCTTGAAATGCTTCAGCCAAGCTCTGAAAATGCAGTGTAAGAGCTTGCTGCTCTCATATGCAAGCTGAAGCCCGTGTGAAACAGTCCAAAGGCTGTTTGAGACCTGAGTCTTTAATATATATTAGCTGCACTGGAAACAGGTTGGTTATATCGGAGAAAGGGCTAAAATATAGTAATCGATGGTAAGTCATTCCTGTAATAAACATCTTTGATGTTTTCAGATAAGGGTGCAGGGATTTACACAGCCCTTGACCCTCCAGGATTTGCTGCAATTCCTTGCACTGTCCTCCTTCTGTGAACAAGGAAGGATTGAGCTCCTGGACAACCTCTTTAAAGGAGGCCATCACGGTGTTTTTGGAAGGGAAGTAAAGGTATAAAGGCTGGTATAATTGGGTTTATGTTGCAGGCCAAACTACCCAAAAAAGCGTACACAACCCTAGTATGGGGGGGTTGTCGGTGTGAAACCATTTCAAAAATTCTGCTTCTATTAAATGTGAATATTGCTCTATAATGAGCACCTGAAACACGAAATGCAGTCATTAACTAAGTGTACTTCCTCTGCCTGCCACAGGAGGGTTGTTACTGCGCAGTCCAGCACTTGCCACCCTTGCACGCTGCGGGGGTGAAGCCGAGCAGATGAACCGAAAAAGGTTATTGAGAAACGTAGGCATGGTCCTGATGGTAATAGCTGCAGCTCTTGCTGTGCGGCACTCTTCATGAAGGTCCATTGGTGTTTGTAGTGCACTGTGCAACTTTATTTTTGCGCAGTAGAAATTCCTGCGTGTTTAGAAAGCCCTTAAAGCAATGGTTCTCAACCTGTGGGTCGCGACCCCTTTGGAGGTCGAACGACCCTTTCACAGGGGTCGCCTAAGACCATCGGAAAACACATATTTCTGATGTGTAAAGAGCAGCTACTCTGTTGAAAGCAGCTACTGTGCTGAAAGCAGCTACTGTGCTGAAAGCAGCTACTGTGCTGAAAGCAGCTACTGTGCTGAAAGCAGCTACTGTGCTGAAAGCAGCTACTGTGTTGAAAGCAGCTACTGTGTTGAAAGCAGCTACTGTGTTGAAAGCAGCTACTGTGTTGAAAGCAGCTACTCTGTTGAAAGCAGCTACTCTGTTGAAAGCAGCTACTCTGTTGAAAGCAGCTACTGTGCTGAAAGCAGCTACTGTGCTGAAAGCAGCTACTGTGCTGAAAGCAGCTACTGTGCTGAAAGCAGCAGTATTGGAGGTAAAACGACACTTCATGAATTATAATTACTGGGTAAATAATTTCATGGTTGGGGGGTCATCACAACATGAGGAACTGTATTAAAGGGTCGCGGCATTAGGAAGCTTGAGAACCACTGCCTTAAAGGGTGTCAAAAACATCAGTGTGATGGGAGCTGCCCTTGTCAGTTTCTGCCACGTTATTGGGGAATGAAGTGAAGCTAAAGCCTATCTCCTACCAAATTCTTTGTTTTCAATAATAAGAGTTGCTAAAAAAAAAAAAAGCAAAATGTCCATCTTGCTAAGAACGTAGTTAATTCTCTCTCCTAACACGATCTTCACTGTATTTGGCCTCATTCATGTGGACATACTTATCTGTACGGAAGAAAAAAGCAACCGAATGCCTGAGCTCCTGCGCTGGACAATGGACTCCGCAATGTCAATATCTCCACATGTATATGAAAAGAAGGCAGGCCTTACTGCCCTCAACGACCAGGAAATCCAAAGAGAACTGTATATAAAGAGACACAAAAGAGGGTGCACAGGCAAGAGAATAAAATCAAATGGAAGCATGTCACATGGAATGCGATGTCCGAAAACCCCTGAATGTAGTCTGGTGGTGGACTGTAGACCTCTGGATAGCTGGTGTGTGACGCGTTGCGAGGTTGTACCTCTTCCTCAGAGCTCATGACTGGCCCTGAGGAAGAGGCACAACTTCGAAACGTGTAAGCCACCAGCTATCCAGAGGTCTACAGTCCCCCACCAGACTACCTTCAGGGGTTTTTAGACCACATTGCATTTCTTGTGACATGCTTTCCATTTGATTCCTCAGGGCCAGTCATGAGCTCTGAGGAAGAGGTACAACCTCGAAACGCGTCAGTCACCAGCTATCCAGAGGTCTACAGTCCCCCCCCCACCAGACTACCTTCAGGGGTTTTTGGACCACATTACATTCCTTGTGACATGCTTTCCATTTGATTTCATTTCTCTTGCCCTTGCGCCCTCTTTTTGTCTCTTTATATACAATACTTATCTGTATACCTGTCCAAAGGGCCATCTTTGCCTGTATGGAATGTACAGGTGTTTAGTGAATCCCCATGCAGGCAGTCTTATTCATGTCTAATGGGGGCGCATTTGACATCCTTGCGGGTGTCGCACATCCACGCAGCTGTCAAATTGGAACCAGCGGCCGCCCCCCCCAATAGACATGAATGGGGCTGCCTGCGCCCCAGATGCACATAACACATATGTATCACATGAGTACACCCCTGTGAGTGAGGTCTTTTAAAAAATACAGCAGACTTAAAGGATAAGTTCATTTTTCTACAAAAAATAAATACACATTTTTTTTGCGCAGGTAAACAAATGTGCATTTATTTTTTTGTTTTTGTAGTAGGATCCTGGAAAGCATTGCACCAGTGATCAGCAGATCACTGTAAATGAATGACGTGGCCTGTTTTTAATAAACAAAAAGTGACCGTTCGTACGGGGAACTTCTCCCTGTACTTCTGTCACTGAGGGCAGCGGGTGGCGGTTGCAGGATTGAGAACATGTTACATTAGGGGTGTCAAACTCAATTTCATTGTGGGCCTCATCAGCATTATGGTTGCCATCAAAGGGTAGGTTGTATCTGTAAGCCTAGATGTCCAGAGCACACCCTTTCCTGCTGCTGCCAGGAAAAAGCTGGAGGCAGAGCTGGGAAGCAGAAAGTGCAGGGTCTGGAGAAGGACCAGGGGAGGGCAGCAGTCATCTGCTGGAGTCTGTTAATGAATAACGTGGCCTGTTTTTAAAAAAAAGTGACCGCTAGTACAGGGAACTTCTCCCTGTACTTCTGTCACTGTGGGCAGCGGGTGGCGGTTGCAGGATTGAGAACATGTTACATCAGGGGTGTCAAACTCAATTTCATTGTGGGCCTCATCAGCATTATGGTTGCCATCAAAGGGTAGGTTGTATCTGTAAGCCTAGATGTCCAGAGCACACCCTTTCCTGCTGCTGCCAGGAAAAATCTGGAGGCAGAGCTGGGAAGCAGAAAGTGCAGGGTCTGGAGAAGGACCAGGGGAGGGCAGCAGTCATCTGCTGGAGTCTGTTAATGAATAACGTGGCCTGTTTTTTTAAAAAAAGTGACCGCTAGTACAGGGAACTTCTCCCTGTACTTCTGTCATTGCGGGTGGCGGTTGCAGGATTGAGAACATGTTACATCAGGGGTGTCGCACAGTACGTGACCATTTTTTCACTCTAGATATGGGTGTAACATAAAACATGGTCCAAAAGGTAGAAATGGCCTTTAACAAAGCTGTCCTTTGCAGGGGCCACTTTTTTTTTATTATAAATGTATTTTGGTAACAAAGTACACTGTTTGCCATTTCTTGTATGGGTGTCATGGAGACAGTGTGGATGTCACCAGGCCAGGAAGGAACATAAATGGCAGCATCAGAATCTCTAACCCTTTTATCTTTCTGCAACCTAAACATTTCAGATAAACTTCTTTAACCCCTAGACGCCGAGCGCACACAAATATGCGGCGTCTGGGCCTTGACTCCGAGCGGCCGCATATTTGCGTACCATTTAAAAATACATATGTGCTAAGAGTGCGCCCACCCTGCCCGCTCCCAGCACATATTTCCCTGACTCATGGAAAGGTCCCAATCTCCCCTTGCGATCGGGACCTTTTCCGATCCTGTGACGGCAAATCACGGTGGTCACATGACCTTAAAATCCCACCCCATTCCTGCCGTGTTGTAGCCAATTCTCCTAGGCAAGTTATACAACAAAAATATATATTGCGGTACATATGGAGAGGGTTACCAAATGACGGCTTGTTTTTTTTTTTTTTTTTTTTTTTTTAAGTAACAGCTTAGCATAATGAAATCTATATATATCTCAGCGAAAAAAACACCCGAAATTGAACCCCTTTGCGCTGGTGCCTCCCGGCCCTTTAAGAGGTTTCAGAAGCCGGGAGGCGCCAGCGCAAAGGGGTTAAAGTTCGGTGTTTTTTCGCTGAGATATATATAGATTTCCTTATGCTAAGCTGTTACTTGAAAACAAGTTCAAGCCGTCATTTGGTAACCCTCTCCATATAATATATATTTTTGTTGTATAACTTGCCTAGGAGAATTGGCTACAACACGGCAGGGAATGGATTTATCAGTGGTCTGTGGATGTCGCAAAGGGATAAACTGCACTTGTTTTAAGCAGCAGCTTGACTAGAAACCAAAAAAAAGCCTTTAATTATCATTATCGGAATGTTTTCAGACTTCTAATCTGTGGGTGATTTGCAGAAAAAAAAAAAAAGATTTACTAAACCGGCAATTTTAAGATGACTACACGCAATTTGTTTTTGTTTCAGCAGAAATAATTTGGATATGGCTGGATCGCGCACGCCAAAGTTTTTTACCGAGAAGCAACACAGGGTTATTAGTAGACCATGAAACCTGGAAGCTGATTGGTTTCTACTCAGAGATGCAGGAGATTTTGCACTCTCCAGCTTTAGTGAATAGCCCCCAGTATGTAGGTAGGAAAGTTTTTATAATGCTTTTACTTCTGTTCACTTTTACACTAGTGCCATCTTGTGACTTTATAGTGGAATTGCAGTGAGGATAAAATCACCAGTACAGCTTACATGTTTTGGTTATGTAGAGCAGTGTTTCTCAACCTTTTTTCAAGCAAGGCACCCTGTAAAATGATGGACCGTCCCGAGGCACCCTGTAAAATGATGGACAGTCCCGAGGCACCCTGTAAAATGATGGACCGTCCCGAGGCACCCTTTAAAATGATGGACAGTCCCGAGGCACCCTGTAAAATGATGGACCGTCCCGAGGCACCCTTTAAAATGATGGACAGTCCCGAGGCACGCTTCATAATTTTAAAGCGTGCCTCGGGACTGTCCATAATTTTAAAGCGTGCCTCGGGACTGTCCATAATTTTAAAGCGTGCCTCGGGACTGTCCATAATTTTAAAGCGTGCCTCGGGACTGTCCATAATTTTAGACAGTCCCGAGGCGCGCTTTAAAATTATGGACAGTCCCGAGGCGCGCTTTAAAATTATGGACAGTCCCGAGGCGCGCTTTAAAATTATGGACAGTCCCGAGGCGCGCTTTAAAATTATGGACAGTCCCGAGGCGCGCTTTAAAATTATGGACAGTCCCGAGGCGCGCTTTAAAATTATGGACAGTCCCGAGGCGCGCTTTAAAATTATGGACAGTCCCGAGGCGCGCTTTAAAATTATGGACAGTCCCGAGGCGCGCTTTTAAAATTATGGACAGTCCCGAGGCGCGCTTTTAAAATGATGGACAGTCCCGAGGCGCCCTTGTAAAATGATGGACCGTCCCGAGGCGCCCTGTAAAATGATGGACCGTCCCGAGGCGCCCTGTAAAATGATGGACCGTCCCGAGGCGCCCTGTAAAATGATGGACCGTCCCGAGGCGCCCTGTAAAATGATGGACCGTCCCGAGGCGCCCTGTAAAATGATGGACCGTCCCGAGGCGCCCTGTAAAATGATGGACCGTCCCGAGGCGCCCTGTAAAATGATGGACCGTCCCGAGGCGCCCTGTAAAATGATGGACCGTCCCGAGGCGCCCTGTAAAATGATGGACCGTCCCGAGGCGCCCTGTAAAATGATGGACCGTCCCGAGGCGCCCTGTAAAATGATGGACCGTCCCGAGGCGCCCTGTAAAATGATGGACCGTCCCGAGGCGCCCTGTAAAATGATGGACCGTCCCGAGGCGCCCTGTAAAATGATGGACCGTCCCGAGGCGCCCTGTAAAATGATGGACCGTCCCGAGGCGCCCTGTAAAATGATGGACCGTCCCGAGGCGCCCTGTAAAATGATGGACCGTCCCGAGGCGCCCTTTAAAATGATGGACAGTCCCGAGGCGCCCTTTAAAATGATGGACAGTCCCGAGGCGCCCTTTAAAATGATGGTCAGTCCCGAGGCGCCCTTTAAAATGATGGTCAGTCCCGAGGCGCCCTTTCAAATGGACAGTCTTGAGGCACGCTTTAAAATTACGGACAGTCTTGGGGCACCCCATTCTAAATGATGAAAAACTTTTCTAATAGATTTATATAACGCAGCAACATCCACACATGTAGGACAACCAACAATGATGGAGAGGGGCGGGGGAGGGTCAAACTAGGATGCTGTGCAGGCAGCCGACATCCTCATCAACTGATGTCATTGGTTGTCAGAACTCCAGCGGCTAGAAGGTGGTAATGATGCACAATGGAAACCTGTGGCTTTGTGTAACTTAAAGGTGAGCTTGTTCCACCCGCTGGCTTGTATACAGGTTTTGGGCAATTTTTAGGCATTTTGCCAAGGCACCCCTGAAGAAACCTCAAGGCACCCCAGGGTGCCTGGGCACCCTGGTTGAGAAAGGTTGATGTAGATAATGTCCTGCATTTGTGAGATTTGGACAGCTAACCATTACACACAGTGCAGTTTCATGCGACAATAATGGCTTCCTAATTCTTCTTAGATCCTGGGCAGAGTCAGAAAACATGTGCGCAGTACTGCAGTGTTTCACATTAAAAAAAAAATAATAATAAATTGTGGATAAGAAATGCAACTGCGTTTTTTTTTTTTTTTTTTTTTTGTTTTTTGCGCACATGTTTTCTGACTCACTTCCCATGATCTAAGAGGAATATGGAAGCCATTATTTCAGGAGAAACTGCACAGTGTGCAATGGTTAGCTGCCCAAATCTCACAAATGCAGGACATTATCTACATAACCAAACATGTACGCTGTACTGGTAGATAGGCAAGTGCCCTTTTTTTTTTTTTTTTGTTATCAATATTTAACTTTTTCAGATTATACAAAAGTATAAAACAGATCAATCACCAAATACGTTCACGATGGACAGGTGAACAAAAATAACCAGAGGACATACAGCAGCATATGTACGTGTTGAGCGTAAGCTGTACATTAGCTGGGTGCCAGTCACATGTCAGAGAATACACCAGATCACTCTAAGCCAGTGGTTCTCAACCTGTGGGTCGTGACCCCTTTGAGGGTCGAACGACCCTTTCACAGGGGTCGCCTAAGACCATCGGAAAACACATATTTCCGATGTGTAAAGAGCAGCTACTGTGTAGAAAGCAGCTACCGTGTTGAAAGCAGCAGTATTGGAGGTAAAACGACACTTCATGAATTATAATTTCTTGGCAAATAATTTTATGGTTGGGGGTCACCACAACATGAGGAACTGGATTAAAGGGTCGCGGCATTAGGAAGGTTGAGAACCACTGCTCTAAGCGAATCTGGGAAAATCGTCTGCAATAAACATTACCCGCGAATGCGATTTCTCTATAAAACACACCATAGAAAGCATATAGGCTGCTTGTAAAAATCCAAAATTTAAAAAAAGAGAAGGGAGAGGAGCGCACACATGAAGAAAAAAAAAAAGGGGGGGGATAGGGGAAATGAGGCAGATAAAGACTACCCAAGGGACAACGAACAACACCCGGGTAAGTAAAAAAACAACAATATAGGGGTATGCAATGTTTCAAATCCCTTTGTAGGGAGGCAGCTAGACTATGAGAGCACATACAGAAAAGTAATCAATCATCTGGTATCTCAGAGTAGTACATCCATCCCTGCCATACGGCGCAAGTGCTGAATTTAATTCCAACGGGAATTCACGAAGCAACAAAAACTTGCTGTGTGTAGTTCGCTGAAATTGCCAGTCCTGACAAAATCGATGTTTTACTTGTATTTATGGATGCTGTCAGGCTGAATCACCCACAGGCCTCTTCTTTCTCACTGACTCCGGCATTAAGGTTCCTACAACCAAGTTCCCAGCTCCCCCTAATTTTTAGATGAACGGGTTTCCGTATTGGAAGTCGAGGGGTGGGAAGGCTTAGAACTCTGGAGAGCTTTCACTGCTGGAGTCTTAAAGAAACCTAGTAAGTCAATGAATGGCTCAAACCACCAGTGTCCACCTATAACTAAATTATCATTTTTGGCAGGAAGACCCTTGCACTTAGATATGGGGTGACTTTGGGGTCATGCATTTCAACAGATGGGGGGCTGCAGGTTGATCTGGCTTCTTAAAGTACACATTCATTTTTTAAATTTTACTCTCTAATCTCCATAGCCCAGGGGCGGACTGACCATTTAGCCACTCGGGGTCAGTAGGGGACCCCGTGAGATGCCCCTTGTACCTTTTCATAGGCTTTTTTTGGATGTGGTTAGAGTGTGGGCGAGGACACAGGGGCCCCATGATTTCCTATTGCCTGGGGGCCCCATGAGTTGTCAGTCCGCCCCTGCCATAGCCCCCTCATTACATGTAGATGAGAGTTTGCACACCTCCCTACCCAGGTATTTGCCTTTTCCTGCACTGCCTGCAGCCTGAAAAAAAAAAAACCTCTAGATCTGGGTTGCTGTTGTCTGTGCACCATATTCCTTGTCGACTGGAATGAGGTTACATAGTTAGTCTGGCTGAAAAAAGACAAAAGTCCATCCAGTTTAGCCATTAAAAAAAAAAGTTATCCTACACCCACTGTTGATCCAGAGGAAGGCAAAAAAAAAAAATACAGGTGTACCTGTATTACAGGAGCAACATTAGAGTCATGTCTATGGGCTATTAGACTTTGATCACATGCCGAATCCGACTTTGAAATCATGTAACTTCTTTTGAATTCGAAGGATTTCAAAGTCAGATGTCGGTGGGACTTGGAAGACATTTGTGCGAGTTCATGCACATATGTCTATGCAAGTATCACCTTAACGCGCAAAAAGTAGTGTGTGTGAACTACTTTCAAAATCCATTGCGGACAATAGGGTGCGACTTTTTATGCCATTTGCATACATTCAAATCGCAGGACAATCAGCACCGGTGTGACCGGGGACTTAGTGTGCTGATCTGCTAGCATTCTACTGGCTGAGTGGGAGGCCATAGCCATGGCAGGGAGTATGTACACCACTACGAAAAGGTAGTCACTGCCCCAGTGCATAAGTGGCTTTTGCAACAAGGAACATGGACAGGCATCGCATATCAAAACAATTTTCTCTCCTTTTTTTGATATGCGATGCCTGTCCATGTTCCTTGTTGTAAAAGCCAGTTATAGACTGGGGCAGTGGCCACCTTTTTGTATTGTTGCATTGTGCCTATGTGCTGGGTGTCCAGTGCGCTCCTGTACCTTTTGAGGGGTGGGCTCCCTCAGGTCCACCTGCCCTTGGTCTGTCCATTAATACATGTGCCTCTACTATGAGGGCTCTCAAAATTTGTAGAGTTTGGACCACAGAATATCGGAGTGCAGTTACATGGCTCTGTGGCTTACGTATGTATTTGCAAATGTGTGCTAACTAAACCCCTGTTTTTTAACCTCTTCACGCCGGCCGAACGCAAATGTGCGGCGTCTGGGCCTAGACGCCAAGCGGCTGCACATTTACGTTCTATTAAAAAGAACATATGTGCTGAGAGCGCGCTCGCCCAGCACACATGTCCTGTACCTACGGAAAGGTCCCGATCTCCTCTTTCGATCGGGACCTTTCCCAATCATGTGACCGCCGTGAAGGTGTGTCACGGTGATCACATGATCCTAAACCCCGCCCCGCCTCCCTGCTTCTGAAACCCTTAAAGGGCCGGGAGGCGCGGTGTGCAGGGGTTAAACGCACAGTGTTAGACGGGTTAATTTGGTTGTTGGCTAGCTGGCTGGCAAGTTGAACTGAGTATGTACACCACCCCTGGTGCGGATGAGAAAGTTAGAACACCTGAATGAGGGGATTGGGATGATCAAAAGAAATGTGAAGTTGTACTTTTAGTAAAAGCGGTCAATTCTGCTATCACATCAGCAATTACCAATCAGCCCCCCAAAATCGCCTTTCTTGAAGCACTTTGTCCACACTTCTTGGCATCCTTTCCAGAATGACATCTCGCATTTCCAGTCAGTTTTGATAGTACAAAGTGTATTATGTTGTATATTGTTTAATAAAAAAAATGTAAATCTGAGTATTGAAACATAAGTAATTTGCTAAATATTTTCTTTCTCCCTTCAGAGGTACTAATAAAACTGTAAAATACTGGCTCTGGCTGTGTTTAGTCCATGCC